CTATGAGTGGGGTCCAATTTGATGGCACATAACAACAACATACTTACTATTTATTTCTCTATGCTTTTGCCTGTCTCCCCTACTAAAATGTAAACTTCATGAGAGCAGGGACTCTGTCCATAGCACCTCAGATGGTGCCTAGGACCTAGTAGGGCCAGAATATTATTTGTTGAATGAGTAGAAGTTCTAGTGAATTTAGCTGGGTTAATGATACTTGTGAGGATGTAAAAATAAGTACTTGCAAAAAGATTCAGTTGCTATTCATTCCCTAGATGCTTCTCATGAAGATGGCCCTCATTCCATATATCTTTCTTTATTTGAAAACTGTATCTTGAAAGTTTTCAAAAGGTAAAATAATTTTGGATGGAAAAATGTTTCGATGTCAATGTGTGTGTAGTAGTTTTTTCCTTACAAGTATGGTCATATCTATATAAACACATGTATGCAATAGACTAAACCAGCTCAAACAATTATATAATGCAAAATGAATCATCTTTCCATCCTAGCCCCTAGTAGTACACCCTGATAGAAAACCAACATGATGAAGTTTATGTCTTTTCAGGTATTTCCTGTGTAATTATGGAAATATGGGTGCATGCTAAGGAGCTCTGGTGATGTAGTTGTTAACGCATTTGGCTGCTAACCAAAAGGTCACTTGTTTGAACCCCCTTGCAGTTCTGTGGAAGAAGGATGCGGCAATCTGCCTCTGTAAAGATTTACAGCCTTGGGAACCCAATGGGGGAGGCTATGAGTTAGAATCAACTAGATGGCATTGAGTTTGGTTTTGAGTTTTGGGTGCATACTATACACAGGCATCTGAACTTTGCTTATTTCACCTTGTATATTTCAAATCACTTTCATTCTTTTTAACAGTTATGTAGAATTTTTTAGATTGCCTTTTTACCTTTCTTGTATGGAGCTCTTTGTACACATGTGGAAATTTACATTAGGAGAGAGTTTGTTAGGAATGGAATTGCTGGATCAAAGGGATGTTCATTTACAGTTTTAATAACTAACACTAGCAAGGTTGGATAACTTTTCTTTGCCACCAGCTGTGTATTAGACATTCTGTTGTCCATACACATGCCAACACTGTATTTAACATTTTAAAATTATAATCCAATAAATCAAAATTGCACTTATTTTAATCTATGGAAGAAAAGGCCTGGAGTCCTGCTTTCCATTAAGATCACAGCCAAGAAAACCCTACGGAACAGTTGTACTCTGTAAAACATAGGGTCACCATGAGTCAGAATTGACTCAATGGCAACTAACAACAAAAACAAATTATGAGTGAGATTGAGTATCTTTTCATTGAAAGAAATTTGTATTTCTTTAGTGAAACTTTATATTCACATTCTTTAAACTATGTATTTGGTGTTTCTTACTGACTTATGAGAACTTTTCATATTTTGAAGAAATTAATCTTTTGTCAAGTGTTACATTTTTTTTCCTTTTTTCTTTTATGGCTTCTGGATTTTGTGTCTTACACAGAAGGCATTCTTTACCCCAGGAATGTTACTATTCTAAATTTCCCATTTTAATAATTCTATTTTGCATTCATTTTTATATTTAAATCTTTCATCTGACCTTATGTTTAAAAAGAGTTAAAAGAAATTCTGCTTTGCTTTTTTTCCTCTCCTAAAGTCAAATGTCCTAACATCAATTATTGACTAAACTAGATTTATCAACTGACTTGTATAAACCAGTCTATTTCGTCATTCATGTCACTTTCAGAAGTGAGCTCTGTTCTTTCATTATATTTTCCAACTGATTATATATTGCTATTTATTTTTTAATACTGATTTCTAAACTAGACACCCTGTTCCTTGAATTCTCTTATTTCTCTGTCTTTCTCTTATTACTTCTTTTTGGTTACGAACCATAATGATTTTGTTTCTTCTCTAATTTTTATGCCTCTGTTCCCTCTCTTCTCTAATAGCTTGGGTATCTTGCCAAATAATGTTAAATAAAATTGGTGATAGTGGGCATTTCTTCCTTTAATTTTGAACTTTAATGCTATTGTTGTTTCACTATTAAGCATAGTGTTCAAGCCATTGACACCGGGGTCACTGGGCGTTTTCATGAAGAATGCACTACATGTCTAGGTTTGATCTAGTGAGGAAATGGAGACACCCAATACAGATCATTTGTTGTAGAGGGAAAATCAGAAATATCCCAGGAATTGGAAAGGGTGGCATGACTCAAATGGAAGAATTTCTTTCTTTTTTTACTCTAATAGAGTAGATGTGAATGTCTTTGAAAAAGTATGGTAGAAGAAAAGGCCCTTGGTGAGGTGGAGAAGATGGGACAGGTTCCCCAATAAGCAAGGTAAACACAGGGTTATTTCTGTTTAGTTACTAATCTGTAGTGAACAATTTCACACAGTGTTCAAATTGTGAAAGTGAAATTGTTCACTTTCACATTGTGTGAAATTATTCACTACAGATTATTAATTAAGCATAAGTAAATGTGGAAGCTGGGTTTCATGGTGACAGGGTGCCCTGAGATTTATATTCCAGAAAGCAAGGATCATTTCCTTTAAGGCTTCATCGCAAACATTATCTCCCACTCTGGTAATATAGGTAAAATCATTTCCTATACCATTTTTTTGTGGGGACAGTAGCCAGCTCAAGGTCTGGAAAGCACTGCAGAATTGATGAGAACAGTTTCCATGCGCAGTGGCTTGTAGGAGCTGGAACTGGTTCGAGGTTGCCATGGCAACACAGATGCAGGCTGCATACATCATCTCACCCAGACTCCCCTGATCTAATAACTGAGCCTAGCATTCCCTGAACTCTCAAACTAAGTGCTTTTTCACAGACTTTACTTGTATTTTGTTTGTATGTTGTTAAACCTCCCTAATAAATTCATTACCCTCTATTTTATTTTGGTTTCTGTAAAATCCAAACCATTGAAGAGAGAATTTGCATTGTTTTAAACTTATCATCCTTGTTCAAATACTTATTGCAAAGTTATTAAAGATTTGTCTGTGCCATGGTCCACTGTTATCCTGTTTTCAGGTTTCTCCATTTTGAAAGTGATAGAATCCTTATTTACGTAATAAGGCCTACACAAATCGTGTGAATATAGCTTCTCAAGGCTCTCTACTGTCATAGAAAATCACAGGGTATTCTGGTGCCTTAGGCTGTCTGCCTCCTAATGAGCCCTGTTTGCCAGAGAAGGAAGATTCTGCTAATGCCTACTGAGACTTCTTCCTTGAAACCTGCAGGTGGGAGAAACACAGACTTTGGACACTAGGATACTTGAGAGTCAGGTCCAGTAGTCCTTGTTGAGTTGGCCTCTCATCCCTTACACCTGATGAATATCGTAAACAGGTGCTAATTTCATAGGCCATCTCCCTGCTCCCCTGTTCTATGGCTATAACTACCAATGCATGGGAGTGAGCTTCTACTGGCCACTGGCTCACAAGCATTAACTGTATATATCTCTTCCCAACTCTAGGTTCATTGACATCACACTGGTAGCCTGAATCACACCAGTAGTTTGAAATCACCTGTGGTAGGAGTGTATATACACTGTGGAAATTGAAAATCCAGATCCCCCCCATGCCCAGAAGTTGTTAATCGTTTACTGGCATTAAAAAAAAAAAGTCACTGAGTTGATTCTGACTCATAGCAGTGCTTTAGGACAGAGTAGAACTGCCCCATAGGGTTTCCTAGGCTGTAAATTTTTATGGAAGCACACCATCACATCTTTTTCCTGAGGAGTGGCTGGTGAGTTCAAACCACCAACCTTTTGTTTACCTTTTGAATATGTTTTCAACCACCATTCCACCAGATCTACTTTTTATTGGCATACCCCTATATAAACCCTTCCTCCCAATTTTTCTTTCAGGGGTAAGGGTTCTCCCAGGGGAGTAGACTTCTCCTATCTCTGAAGATTCCTTGTGGCCATTAAATGAAAGAAAGAACTATATCACACAGCAGTCTTAGTTTTGGCTAACTTGTGTTTCTTTGGAACGTTGTTGTTGGGTGCTGTGAATTGGCTCCGACTCGTAGCGACCCTATCTATGACAGAACAAAACACTGCCTGGTCATGTACTATCTTCACAATCCTTGCTATACCTGAGTCCATTGTTGCAGCCACTGTGTCATTCCATTTCATTGAGAGATTTCCCCCTTTTTGCTGGCCCTCCACTTTACTAATCATGATCTCCTTCTCCAGGGAATGGTCCCTTCTGTCAACATGACCAAAGTAGGTGAGATGAAGTTTGGCCATTCTTGCTTCCAAGGAGTATTCCAGATGCACTTCTTCCTGGAGATATTTGTTAGTTCCTTTAACAATCCATGGTACTTTTAGTATTCTTC